CCCCCACCCCCCCCAATACAGTTCATGCTAAAGAAATTAAAATATTTCTTTTATCCAAAAAGAAAAATCTAGCTGCATGAAGCCCAAGAGAGTCCAGCTAATCTGGGATGCTTCATCCACGGGAGCACATCTCTTTTTTTGGTGTTCTTGCCAATGGTGCATGAGAAGACCCAGCAGATGGACTCAGTTCAATTAATTGGTCAAGTCCACTCTGTTGTCTGGCCATAGTCTGAAAGACTGCATCTCTCTGCTAAATTTCAGTCTGAAGTGAATATATGTAGTTGAGTTTTAAAATTTGCTTATAAAATAAATAGTCAGACACTTAAAACCTTGATTTTAATGCTACTGATAACTGATGTGCTAGTGCACCTTGGACTGAATTAATTATAAATTTCTATCACCAAGTCCTTCACAAGTATGCTTTCTACCAAGTCATGTGGTATATACCTGCAGACGAATGGTAGAAATGGATGAGGATTCTGTAGAAGGAAAAATCCTGTTTTAGAGCTTTGCACAGTTTTTTCTCCTCTAGTCCCATTTCCAGAAGTTTTGTGTTCTGTCGTCCTCTGGCTTTGTATGTTTTTTTTGCTTCAGAAAATCTTACACTTCATTTAGATATGCCTATGTTAGCTTTTGCTGCAAAACAACAAAAATAAAAGAGCAATTCTGCAAGGGAAAAGTAAAATCAGCACTTTCTGAGGCAGTTGTATGAAGCTATAGATACAACCATGCAAAAAGTAATTGAGCCCTAATAACTTCAAGAATAAATGTCGCCTCTAGCAATTCTGTGTTCATTACATATTGTGGAGTAGGAAGGGGAGAAAAGGAACTGGGAAAAAGACACTAGAAAGACTCCCTATATTTTTGTTTTTTTCTCTTACTTCCTGGTAAATCCACTCCATTAACTCTTTTTCCATAAAACTTGGATTATTATTTTTTTAAACATACTGAATGAAAAATACTTCCTTTACTACTTATACCTTGTTGCTAACAAATAGCTAGAGACTCACACACTTTGAGCAAAGCATAAACTCTGCAAGGAATTAGTTTAATGGAATGCATCTTGCAGCAGCATCTGGATTACCATTATGTTTGAGCCAAAGGCTTGTTTACAGCAAACGTGGAAGGTCTATTTTTTTTTTGCCCTGACACCCTACGGTTTGTGTTATCATTTCAGAACATTATATTATAGTACACAATACATATATCATGGCTTTCATAAAATACATAAATTATTGTAGCATTCCTGGATTTAACAGATTATTACATTCTAACTACTACGTCCATTTTATAATGGTTTGTATAACATACATAGACTTTAACCATGTTAGAATTCTATCTGCTACCTTTCAGTTTGAATTCCTAAAGAGTTTGCCTATCATTTTCTTCCTTTTAATTTCATTTTCTTTGCTCTTCTATGCACCACTCCAGGCAAAAATCCCTAAAAGTTCCATTTGAGAGCCTCACTTATAATTTTTTTTCTGAGTAGTTCTCTGTAATGATCTAAAATAAACTGTGTACAATTCTGAAATTGTAGCCATATAGTCATTAAAATTTTGATAATCTTTGTGACCCTACAGGAATCTTTAAAATATTTAAATCTCTTACTCTTTTTGTATCATTATCAGATCAATGAATTAAAAAAAAAAAAAAAAAAAAAAAAAAAAAAAAAAAAAGACTATGAAGAAACTCAAAAGATCATCTAGCCTATCTCCTGTACAAAAGTGATTTAGGATTGCCCAAGGTAGGTATTTTCAATATGCAATTGAAACCATAGAACAAATTCTTCAATCTTCCTAGTCCGTCTATTTCCATACTTGCTTGCTCTTATCGGTGAATTTTTTCCTACCCTAAATTTTATTTTTTGAAAAAAGAAAAAAAAAGATTTTTTTCTTATCTTACTGGGCAGAAAGTATACTAAATTATGATTTTTTTATAATAGCTTCTTAACCATGAAAATGGTCTTTAAATATTTTTCTTCAGTCTTTTATTATAGAGATTAAGCAATTATTTTAGCTTTTCATCTTTGGTTTCCAAGCCGTCTTAATGCCAAAATTTAAGATAAATAAACAAGGGTGCTAATTTGCCTATCCTTCCTGTACAGTGGAATTCCAAAGAGAGAATGTCTTCTAAAGTACAATAGGGACAGATCTTATTTTACAAACCCTGCATGACTTTCTGTGTGCTCATTATGGAGTAATTCAACATGGCCTCTGCCATATGGGGCTGCAATATACTGATTGAGGTCTCCACACTACTGACTAGAGCAGGATGATTTATTTCATGTCCTTTATCCTCCTAATGCATTCCAGAAAGATGCTTGTCCCATCTACACTGATATTCTGTGCTTGACCGTTCTTCACTAATGTCCATATCTTTGTCTAGAACACCCTCACTCTCTAGTTATTCTCTGTTTTGTATTTATGCATCTTGTTTTCCCAGGTGTACTTCTTTCTACTTTATAAATTTTTTTTGGTTGATTTTTGAGCGTTTCTCCATTTATCAGAATCAGTTTGAATTCTAATCCCATTACTCAGAGTGCTTACAAATGTTTTTGCTGTTATTGGAAAATTATGTAGATTAATTTTCAGTTTCACATTCTAAAGTAATGGAATATCTCAGTTAATATTAATTAATTCCAGTTAATCAAGCCTTAATATTCTCTAGTTTAGTTTGTCCATTTTTATCTCTTAAAAAAGATAGCATATGAATTTATAAATAAACATGTATAGCTCAGAATGCTACTTATAAACAAAAAGGACAAAAAAGTCTCTTTCCTACAAAAACTACCCATTTTTTAGATGTGAGGATTTGTTTCATAATTTTCAGCCCTATATTGAGTATTTGAGGATATTTTTATGTTTGCTGTCATTGCACTTTTACATTTTTTCTAACTGTAGATAAACATTGACATTATTTCACAGAATTCTGGCAACTGACGTGCAAACACAGTGCATATTCATGCACATGCACACACCCACTTGCATACTACCTGCAAGAGTGAAGTTTAAAAATGTTCGTGATTATTTACAGAAATTTTCAATCACTGTAGAAAATACTGCTTTATTTTCAGGTTATTTTCAGACAGAAAAATTGACAAAATTCATCTAGTACAGTATCATCAAGGCCAGGCTGGACGGGGCTTTGAGCAACCTGGTCTAGTGGAAGGTGTCCTTGCCCATGGCAAGGGGGTTGGAACTAGATGATCTTTAAGGTCCCTTCCAACCAAAACCATTCTATGATTCTACAATAGTACAATGCAAATAATTCATTTCTTAAAGTTATCAGCAGTATTTCTTTATACACTGTATTTATCGGCCTAACTCTCAAAACCTTTTCTGTTTCATTGCACCTCAGAATGACATGATAGTAGAAAATCAGGCTCTGAGGGACCCCTAAGGTCTTATGTGAACAGATTTCATTTGCTCATCACAACTGATTAGTACCATGAAGCACCTCCTCATAGTTTAAGGCCAGTGATTTCCTTCAAGTTGCATTGCACAGCATTTTCAACACTAAGATCCTGACATAAGTGCTACAATAGGCAGCTTAGATAGTGAAGTGCTGCTGTCTTATTCTGACTGCAGTGGGTAGGGGAGAACAAGAGCAGCAGAGCCCAGGCAGATTGAGGGCATGGTAACCTCTGGCAGGAGTCAGTAACAAGCATCTGGCAGTGGGTGAGATGGTAATGTCTTTGGCTGACACAGCTGCCTGTGAAGAATGATGTGTGAACAAGCCATAAATCATTCTTGTTGCAGAGGAATATTTAGTAAATACCTCTCAAAGCCTTTATTGCTTCCTCTCTCTAAGAACTACATGAGCAAATTGCTGAAACAGAGCTTCAGTGTGAAGAAAAATCCTGTTGAAGTATTTAGAAATATGCAAACAGTTTTTCACCCAAGCAATCCTTTTCACTGGAGGGACTGATTTTTAAAGAAATATCAAGTACTCTTTTACAACCTGATTCCCACATATATTTGTCATTTTCTGCAACATTTTTATTGCAGCTATGAAACCATAAAAAACTCCCAGTCTAATTTATTTTCTAGAATGTTTTGATGACCAAAGATGTTGTGTGAATACTTTGGACAGGCAACAGGCTTTGGCATGAAACCTATTGAACAAGAATGGAGGGAAACATTTTCCTGTTTAAAAGGCTGTATTAAACAAGAAATAATGATGTTTAACTATGTGCTTTCTATAATACCTCCAAAGCATTCCTGAGAGAATCCAACAAGCTCCAAGGATGTCCTTCATAATTTGCCCAATGAAATGATAAGCTTGTTCTCACTGATAGCAATTATTTAACATTAATCTTATGTGTTTAACATACAGTGCACATTAAATCACTTCAACTAATAAAATTTCAGCATGCGTTTCAGTGCCATTGGGCAGATTGCCTATTGTCCTGATTATAGTTACTAATTAAGAATTACTATTTAGGTGTTAGATATAAGTGACATCAGCAGATGTATTTTCAGATAGAGTTAGAAACTGGTGTTACCTTTCAGTAAATCTTGGATCCATCTCTCAAAAACTAAGTGTATAAATTTGAGTTTTGTTCTTAACCCATTTTTAGTCCCTAGCTTATTTATTATTTTTAAAAGTATTCATGATATAGCTGTCTGTTTCATTGACATTGTGCTTCCGTTTACAGTTATTTTTAAAAGGGAAAATACAAGTTTTATTAATAGACATTAGCTTTGTCAAGCATGAAAATAATAAATACAATCTCCCCAGTAAAGAAAATATAATCTATCAATCTGGCTTCATACAAGCAGTTACCAATTCTGTAACCTAGATGGACTCCAGATGGCAACAAGCCGTCTACACAGCTGTGCACCTGATCAAGGCAATGATGTGCTATGCATGCACGGTGCAACCTTTCTACAGCAAAAAATTTGTATCTTGTAGATATTTTCATTACTGAATTTAGAAATTAGCTACAGGACAGCTGAATGACCTGCAGGTAGCAGGGCCTGCAATGAAAAAATCATGAGAATGACACATTACTGAGGAAGAAAGAGATAACAGGGTTTTGTGAGTATTTGTATTGTATGACTGAAAGTCATTCTGTTGCTATATCTAAGATTTTTGCTTTCTTTTGCAATTAACTTGCTGAAATTGTGGAAGAGATGATGAATAATGAAATGAATCCAGAGAAAATTTCATGGATCAAGAAAGACATGAAGAAAATATCTTCAAACAGAAATAACCTATTAGGAATTAAAATAGTTCAATGAATCAGTACACACAGACTTGTAACTAAAATAAAAATAACAGAGGACTTTTCATATGCCTGGCTTTTCACAGTGCTGGGCTAGACATTGCCACCGTTCATTAATAAGAATCTATTCTTACATCTTTCTGGAAGAGATAAAAGTACAGAAACACAAAATCTCATGCCAGCACTGTGGTTCAGTATTTAGGGGACTCTGAGTAGGTGAGCTGGTGAGGCAATGGGAAAAGGTTCTCTTCTTTCAGTTCAGGACACAAGGGAACTGCAGAGTTGCCGCTGGAATATTCTTTTGCAGCTCTTCTGAATGTGGTAGAGCAAATGTTTGATTATAGAATCATAGGACTGGGTTGTAAGGGACCTTTAAATATCAAGTCCAACCCCTATGCTATGGGCAGGGACATCTTTCACTAGATTGGGTTGCTCAAAGTCACATCCATCCTAACCTTGAGTACTCCCAGCGGTGGGGTTTTCACATCTTCTCTGGACAACTTGTTACAGTGTCTGACTGCCCACATTGTGAAAAATGTCTTCCTGATGTCTAAGGTAAATCTACCTTCTTTCAGTTTAAAATTGTTGCCTCTTGTCCTGTTAGTACTTTGCTTTTCCTTGTCTACACACTGGTATATATTTTGCTTGCAAACAAAGGGTTTATGTATTCTTCTTCCCTGTTATGAAGATTTGTACTCTAGATCTAATGTTAGGAGATCATCACTGAGGTAATTACAGAATTTATCTGTGCAATTATTATAAATTCAATATTTTTTAATGCAGGCCAAAAAAATAAAAACCTTTCTATAAAAAACAATAGCTCCACAAGCGTGTCTCACTGAATGATTTTTTTCTGTAGTGTTATAGAAACTGAGGATAAAACAGTAAATTGGTCATCTCAATTTACATTCATATGTATTAAATTAGATACCTCTTGGTATATCTTAGGATACACAAGATGTCCCAAGGCAGTTATTTTAAATATCAGACTGTACTGTGTACCCAGTAAGAAAGACTGAAAGCTTTTACACCAAATACCAGTAAGTTCATCCGTCTATCTATGCACCCTTACATCCACAAGGCATTCTCAGAGCAC